TTCTCCAGGATGTTGGCTGGTGTCATGAAGACCTTGTCATGACCATGTCATGTGCCATGGTACCCCTCTCTCCACAGAGCCTTCAGAGTGGATCTTCCTTCGTACCCCACTTGTACAGATTTATTGGTGATGGGAGGGTGTCATTGACTGCCATAGAACACCAGGAAAGAGATGCAAAAGGGCTCCAACCTCCACAATTCTGTCCACGTCACTCTTCTTTCAGAAAGATTCCACTTTGTCCATGTTTCCTGCACTCCCAGCTCCACTGATCTGGACCTTCAGCTCTTCTTCCCCTGATTCCTCACTTCTTCCTGTACCATATCTCTCCTCTCTTTTAATCTAGATTTTCCCCACTGATGTAAATGTATTTTTCCCAGACCTTGTCTGTCAGGACATGGGTTTCTAAAGATGTCCTGAAGCTTTAATGTATTCTGTGCTTGGGTCAAAGAGTCCACAGCAGCCCACTTATTTCCTGATCTGTTAATGATTCCTGCCCCTCTGATCAGGCTATCTCTGGAGTTTCTAAAGGACATCTCCACCCTGCTTTTTGAATTCCACCTTAAATTGTTCCACACCTGAAGACAGGGGGAGTTAGAGCTGTCCTGATCTTATATAAAACCCCACTGATGTGAAGCTTGGTCAGATTCCCAGCCTTTTGGAGGTGCTTATTCATCTTTCTCTCCACTCTTTCCACCATTGTGTCACGGTTATAGCCCCCCCTCCTTAAGGGTGCTCCAGCTCTTTCACTTTAGACTTTATTCTGTGCACCTGATTCCTATTCCCAGCCCACCTTAAAAGCCAGGCGCTGACGCTCATCCGGGCTCTGCATCTGGTTTCCGTGCCGTGCGAGTCCGGGACCTGGAAGCGCCTGGTCCCATTAAGGTTTTAATCTCTGTTCCCGTTCCTGTTCCCTGTCCGCCAGTTCCGACCCGGTTTCTGGTTTTAATTCCTAGTTTTGATGGATCTCCTGGTTTTGGACTTACCCTTGTGTTTTGGATACCCTCTAAGGATTACTCTTTTAGATTGTTTGCCCCGGCCACACCTCCCCCGTGCACCAGCGCATTTTGGACACGCCCCCCTGTTTTCAGCCCCGTATTCCCGCATGACGTTTTCCCAGTGTTTCCCCACTTCTTCGGATTGTGTCGTCCGCATAGGGTCCGGAAAGAACTGTTCGTTACACATTGTCAGGGGTAT